GGTCGCCGCCGGCGAGGCCCCGGAGAGCCAGGCGCCCCCCGAGGGCTTTGTGAACACAGTCTTCCTCTTCTCTCCCTGCCCCCACTCGCGGAGGGAGCTGCGGCAGTTCGTGTCTGGGAGCGACGGCCCTTCCTCCCCTCGCGAGCCGCCCACGGCTCAGGAGCTGGCGGAGAAACTCCTGCCCAGGAGCGTCCAGGAGCTGATCGCGGACCAGAAAATCACGCTGTTCTGGGTGGACACTGCCGAGTGGTCTCAGGTAACAAGATTATACCGCACAGCTTTCAGCTGTGAGTACTAGCAGGCCGTCTTCTACCCTGCCCTCCCGTATACGAAGGGAGAGCAGTTTTATTCTGTAGCCTTTGAGTGGCAGGGAAAGGTCTCCAGTTACTGCCACGTAATCTCTTGTTCAGCAAGAGACTGAAAACTGGAATGGTCGTTCTCCCTGTGGAGACGGAGATACATCGGTAACTGTACAGTGTTTATTGTTGGGTTGTCTTGTGCTTTGAGTTAGGTGGGAGTTGCAGCTATTCAGACTTGCAAACAAGCAGTCTGACAACTCGGGTGTCTAGATACATGCTTGAAAATATTGGCCACCTCTTAATTCAGTGGGAATAGAATTTTCTTTATTGGGTTCCCGATAAGGTTAATAAACTCCGTAAAAACACTTGGAAGGTGCTGTGTTAAGATGGTCTGTATACGTTTCTTAGGCCGGCTTTTCTAAAAGCATGCAACCTCTGTTTGTTCGGATGGAGGTTACCTCACTGCCAACATTAACCTGAGGCTTCCCTGTTACTTTATTTCAGCTGATCGAATCCCCCGATCATGTTGGATACCGGACAATGTTTGAACTGATCCATCAGACGGGAGGCACCATTTTGCCAGCTGAAACCTTAGTGCAATGTTTGAGTCACCACAGGGCAGATCTTGCTCATGGCTTTCTTGGAGGCTTAAGTTCCCCAGTGCCACAGACTGTGCCTTGGACCACGCTTCTGCCGTTGGACGCGACTTTGAACTGCTTGTTCTCGAAGCCCTCTGTATTTCAAGCAGTATTCCCCCAGCAAGAAGGGACTTTGTTTCTCAGCATGCCTGGTAATTTAAACAAAAAAGTTAGGTGTGCATAATGACTGTCATCTCTCATGCAGAGTCCTTGATGAGTTTCCCTTGTGAACAGTATGCGTAGAAGCAACTTCAGATGTTTAAGAGCTTAAGTTTTAAAAAGAAAAAAGTCCTGCATGTGCTCTAGTTCCTCTGATATAAGAGCTATTAGCCCATGCTCCTGATTTGGTCTCTTCAGTTTTCCATGCTTCCAGAAATTTGGATGCACGAAGAGCTTTTTGCTGGCTCCACCTTATAGGTGTACACCCTTTTCTTCTACGTGTTTTGCCTCAGCTTCAATTTGGCTAAGCTAAGAACGCAAATATAAAGCCCTTTCAAAAGGAAGCAGATTAGCTTTAAAGCAGCATCCAGTGCGCTTTGGCTCTTTCTTTAGTGGTCCCTTCGTGCACTTGGTTCCTTCACGAGAGCTTGGGGAGATCAGTTCTGCAATACACTTACTGTAGAGCTATTCCCAGTTTAATCTCGGAATTTATTATTCTTGCATTGAAGTTGTCTCTTCATCTAGATGAAAAAAACATTTTACATGCTTTGGAACTTTTGCTTTATGTTACCATTGCACAGGAGGAAAGAAGCAGGAAAGCTGTGCTGTGATCCTGGAACCCCTAGCCATGAGCCAAAGACAACTGCGTTGTCCAGTCAACATCTTCCTGAAAGGTAGCTTGTCGGGTTGGAGCTTGATGCAGGCTGGCCACTTTCTCACAGAGAGCTGGATATTGCAGAGCTCACAGGCTGAGCAGGCAGAACATAACAGGTCACTGTTTCATCAGCTGTTAAGGAGTCTAGTGACTGAAGAACTGCACATGGTAAATCTTTCTCTTTGCCTTAAACTAGTGTCTGTTCTGTAATGAGCTGTGACAAAAGGGGTGACAGTGCATCATGTTGTGAAGACAATAACAGTGGTGTTTGTTGCACTGCAAATTGCTCATTTGGAGCTAAATTCAGAACATTCTTTAGGAAAGTAGGTAAGTCTATAACCTGTTTGTAAAGTATCTGTACTCCTTGGGTCTCTGCATTTCTAGGTAACATAAACTTTTCTCTTTTTTTTTTTTAATGTAGGTTGCTGAGGTATCTCTGTCTAAAACTTGGTGCCCCTGCACCGCTGTTTTATCACCGCTTTCTGAGAGTACTGCAGTTCTGACTATACTTGGTACTGAGAAGACCGCTGAACTTCAGCGATGCAACCTTGAAGGAGCTGTAGTGGAGAACTCTTCCCAAGACCATGCTCTTCACCTCCCAGATGTTGTGAATAGTGTGTTGAGTAAAATTAACACAACGGTGGAAGATTCTCTGGCCAGTATGGGTAGGTGTCAGGAAATGCAAAACTTACCATCTTTTGGTCATCTCTAGATCTGATCTGGAGTGGAAAAAACTAAAGCTAATGATTTCCTCAGTGAGAATCTCTCATTTTTGGGACTTGTTAATTTTGTCTTCTGTGGCTCAGGCCTTGTGATGTGATGCAGAAATAAATCTGCAGTGGTGTTCCTTTCTGTTTTATTGACAGAGCATTAGCTTCCATTAGCTTGTAGGTAAAGCACAGCTACTTGTGCTTGGGGACAAGTTTTTAGAATGAGGTTTCCTAAAATGTGTCACATAAGCCATCCATGGCCAGTAAAGCCTCTGGGTGTGGCTGCAAGGAGGCTGCTTTTAGCTCACCTGTTTTGTGTTAGAGTGAATCTTATGTGAGTCTCCCTGCCTGATGTCTTGGCTGTTAAACTGCCTCTCCAGGAGCAAAGGTTTGCTAAACCTCTGCTTTAGAGTCTCTGTGAAGGCTGGGACCTTCTGCCACTTCATTTAGTTTCCTTCTAATTTTTTTTTTTTGTGTGTCTGCTCACAGGAGAAGAAACTCCTATGCCAGAGTGGGTCCAACGGGAACTGTCCCATACAGGGGGCTGGCATCCTTCGGTGCTTGAAGCATGGTATCCTGCATCGAATGCTTGTGGAGCAAGCTCAGACCTGATGGAGTCATTCAGGTATTTTTCTGAAACGTCGTTGAGTAATAATCAAGGATTTCTGCTTCCTGTTAAGGGAGTATGGCTGCAGTGCTGCTCAGAGTTCTAGAATTAAATGCTTCTCTTAGTACTTTTATTTCTGTACTCAGTTTACTGTGTGCTTTTGCTTCATTATGTCTTGGTGTATATGTAGGAACTGGGAACAGGCTGTTGGGGTAGCAGTTTGCATGGATTAAGATCTTGACAGTTTCAGGGGTGATATAGGTGACTTAAAATGACCTAAGTTACTTGGGGAGATGTCAGACTTCACCTCATCTTATGGTTCGATAAGATCCACTGCGAGATACTGAAGATAGTGGTTGTGTTATCACAGTTGGTGTTTAGTAGGAATGAATAAGCCTGCTTTCTTCAAAGAGCTTGCTGAGTGAAACAAAACAAAAAAGCCTAACGTAGGGTAGCTTAGCACAAAGCTGCTCATGTAGTTCTGTGGCATGGGACAGTGGCATATCCACTGTACATCAGGCGACTCTTGTTATGCTTGTTTCCAACTTGGTGTGACCCCTTGAAGGGGGTGGTTTGGGTTTTTTGTATCTTTTAAGTAAGAATTTTGGGGAGCAGGCATTGGAAGAGTACTAGCGTGTGTTGCTTGCACTATATTGCTGTGGACTGGCACCCAGAAAATCCTGGTTTCTCTCCACAGGGAACAAGGGGTATGCCTCCCACTCCCTTTTTTTTTTTTATAACTATATTGAATAGCTCTTTTATATAGGCTCCTGCAGGTTCCTTGTGCTAACGGGAAGGATGATGCAGACCAATCTGAAGTGGAACTCTCAGAAAGTCTGTCTGAGCTGTACCAGAGAAAATTCAGTGAAATATCTGCTGCAGCTGGACCAGGAAATAACAAAAAAAGACGTATGTATACTTTGGGATTATATGTGCATGTTGTCAATTAAAGATGATAAAGACTTCTCAGCAGGCCTTTTTAATACATGAACGCTGGAGATCTGTACTCTCCTGAGTAGTGGCATCCTTTAGATTTCTTTTATTTAGAGACAGTATCATTTACGTTTATTAGGATTGTCCTTCAGTACAACTCAAATGACTCTAATTCAAGGCTGCGCAGTGACTGACAAAACTGTTAAAAAGCAGCATGCAGAGCTCTGCAGTTTCACTAGTTTTTGAAATAGGGACTGCTCCAACTACTAGTAAATATTGCAACCTCTCAACTTTGCTCTAATTTGGAGAAATAAAACACTTTCTTCTAGAAGAGTTTAATCATTGCCTTTCAGTACACCAACCACAGTTGATTATACCCTGACCTGATGTATCCGTAAGTCTTGCTCTGTCAGCTATTCCTATTCAAACCTAAGATTGCTTCATATATATATATAACTTCTGATTATACCTGTGTAAGTCCTTATGCAGAGCAACAGTTTTCACCTGCTTTTTACTTAGAGAAGTAGCTGCCTGCTGTACTGCCTGTACATGTATTTCATGGAGAAGTACAAACCTTTTGGGCCATGTTTTCCACGAGAAGGTTACTAATCTCACCTGACAGTAACACAGAATTCGGTATTATGCTCTACCTTGGGTGGAGTTCCTGCCTCAGTGTCTCTGATGGTAGAACTCCCTTTTTCTGGTGTTGCAGGTGGAGTTCCCCGAACTCCAGTCAGGCAGAAGATGAAGACCATGTCCAGATCCCTGCAGATGCTCAACGTAGCAAGACTGAATGTAAAAGCTCAGAAGTTTCAACCCGATGGTGCGCCACTAACAGTGAATGAGAAGGTTCCACAGAAGCTTTTGTCAAAAAGGTTGGATGAAAAGGTGGAAGAAAAGGAAAAGGCACTTAAAATATCAATAGGTGTGTGTTATCAGTCCCGATATTTGTAGGAGGTCACATGGGATTTTTATGGAAGGGAGAGGGAAGGATAATAATGGAGTATTAGGTGCTAGGGAGCAGATCAGTGTTCGGGTTTCTGTATCTTCAGCTTGGCACAGAGTGGTAATTTTTTTCCACCCTTCTCCCAGTTAGTTTCTATAAATGTTTACAACTAGTGTTACAACTGCTCCCGGGGTTAGCTTCCTGCCTTGTCTCCATCTGAAAAAAGCAATAAGGAACTATCTATCTTTGGTTTTTTAACCAAAAGAAGTAGAGGGAAGCACACGTCAAGGTGCAACTGGAAGTGTAGTCCGATTTACTAATTATGCAGAAGTAAAAGGAATTTCTTGACTGCTACAGTAACCTGAAAGCTTGGTGATCTACTTGGAACTAAGATTATCATTTGTCACGGGTCTGGACCTGGGACTGCTTCTGTTAGTCTGTTCTGTGGTCTGGATGCACTTTTTGCTAGAGAAAATCTTTTTGATGACCTCCTCTGTTCCCCTCTTCAGCTGGAATGAGTGTTTTATCAGTAAAGTGTGGTGAACAGGCATTTAGTTAACGTAAACCACTTCCCTTGCAGACTTCAAAACTGAGGAGGAACTGCAGTCCCATTTAATCACAAGCTACCAGAAGGCTGTTGCTGAGGGAGTTCTTTCATCTGTGTGTGCCCAGAATATGATCGTGGCCATTAAAAGGTTTTTGAAAGTACAAGATGCCAAAGAGAAAGAGGTAGGTAAGAGCATGTTGGGCAGGGTTGTTACTGATCTGGAAATTAAAGTTTTTGTTATTTCAGGCTACCTTTCCTTCATCTTCCCTGAAGTTTTTATGCGCAGTTGCATGTAGTCAAAACCACAACCACTAACTACTTCTGTCTGTGCCGACTCAATAGTGAAAAACTGCAGGTAGTTGTAAAGGATGTAGGAAAATCCAGTTCAGTTACCAGTTTACACCTTTGCCAAAGATTGCAACGGATATCTTTTTCCTTTACATTGACCTCATTCTGAATTCTAATTTCACTTATTCAAAGACAGTATTTTTAAACAATATGTTCTTGCAAACCACATTTTAAAAAAGGTGCATCTTCTGGTTTTGCTTTACATGTCAAATCTAGGCCTACTAATTCTCCAGGAAAGAGAAATAGTTCAAGGTATTTCTTACTTTAAGTGGTACTTCTATAAATAGTGCTAAAGGTTGTAACTCACTGAAACCAAAATTGGTAAACTTGTGAATAATTGAAAAAAATACTGTGAAAGACAAATCCATAGTTACTGGAGAAGGCCTGAAGCTGCAAGCAAGTGACCTTCTCTGTGATTTCAAGCTATAAGTTCTTCTATGTCTCATGTCATTGTGACTTTGCTACTGAAAGAGAATTCCTCTCCCTGAAGGAGAAGAAAAAAAAAATAGAGCTATTCCCAAAAGAATGGGTCAAGATAGGAGGGGGGGAAAAACCTGTCCTGCAGACAGGGAACAGGCTTAAAGTTTTTGCTGTACTTCTGTGTCTCTGCAGGTGGCCTGTGTGGAAAGAGTCAGAAACCATCTCCTGAAGACCAGCAAAATGCTCAGACAACAGCATGGCTCACAGAAGGAGACCAAAGTCAGAGAGTATGAGACACTATTTACTTCAACTTCTGAGATACTGTGGAGTTGGTTAGCAGTTTTTAATGGTGGCTTTTTTGTACAAGTGGAAAAGTATTTACATGGGGTAAATATTCCAAGGAGAACATCTGGTCACAGTAAAAACATTTCATTAAATGCAAATACACACATGCTGTGTGATAAGCATTGTAGCCTATATCTGAAATGAGGCATCTCCTCTGCCACCAAAATGAAATGCTAACCAAATTATGCTGTCAAAAGGAGCCGCTTCCCCTGCCATTGCTTTTTTGAACACACCTTTTGCAGTAAATATGCTGTTTCCACCAGAAAAAAAGGCAGTGAATGACTACTTGTTTTCTTAGGTGTCGACTTCAGGTATTTTTGCGCCTTGAGTTATGTCTTCAGTGCCCTTCACTGCAAAGCAACACTGACGAAATGGAGCAGTTGTTAGAAGAGGCAAGTAAATTACAGACCAGGTTGTGTTTCTGGATGGCACTAGAAATGCAGACTTGGAACCTGTAGTTTTCCCCTGATTTTATGGTCACCATTTTATATTTCTTGCTAAAAAAATCTGGTGTTGCAACTGTCACAGCTTAATCCACTTTCCCACCTGACTTTCTCTTCCAGATGACAGATATGCTGCGCATTTTATGTCTGACTGAAGACCCAGGGTATCTTACAAAATTTCTAGAGGAAATATTAGAATTGTAAGTTCTTTAGGATGATGTAAGTGTTACTGGGGACTGAGGTTTTGGTTGGGTATCTTTGACTACAGCTTTCATTTACTGCATCATTGTAACTTTCAGTTTAGGTATGTTCTGCTTGTTACACTTGTATCTCGATTAATGAAAAAGTAGCGGATAAGCAAGTAAACTAATGAAAACCCAGTTGATTTTCAGTTGTGGGTTTTTTTTTTAATTGACACAAGAACAAAAATTTAGTTCAAACCTTGGGATTGAAACGTTGGCAGTTTTGTGGGGGATTGTATTTAATGTGAGTTCTCTCTGATGCTCTAGGTATATGAATTCTATACCGAAGACCCTTGGAGATATTTACTACGGTCTTGGTACACAAATACCCCCGAAGCTGACATCTGTTCTGCCTTCAGACTTCTTCAGTGATGACTCCGTGACTCTGGACAGCAAATCTCCAGGCCTTCCACCGTCTTTATCATCTGCCTTAACTCCCAGCGCTGTTTGCCTACGCAGCGAGAGTGATCAGCTGGAGGAGCTGCGCACCAGATCTGCCAAAAAGAGAAGGTAATAATTCCAAATAGGAGGCAGCTTGTTGCAGCCTGGGCTGTGGCTGAGGACTTATCTAAACTACAGCTCAGTCATCTTTGTTTCTGTTGCTGGATAGCTGGTTGGGGCAAGCTGACACCTGCTGATAGCTCTGCAAGCCTGAGAGAAATATTAAGGGCTCCCATTCTTCATTTTGACTTACCATTGCTGAGTATATGAAAGTGCAAGTGTATCTTATGCACAAGTGGAGTTCATGACCATCTTCCGTGAGAGGAAGAGGATGTTCTATTGTGCAGTAGGTGACCCTATATCGTTAAAGTTAAAACTGTGATTTACTGTAGACCTCTATGTTGGGGATCCTGTGTACATTTTAACAATTTTCACAATTTTAGCAAATTGTGAAATGAGTTTTAATACCAACCTTAAAGTTAGGTATAGCTATTTATATTGCAAATAGACTCATAGAATAGTTTGGGTTGGAAGGGACCTCTAAAGGTCATCTAGTCCAACCCCCCTGCTGTGGGCAGGGACATCTTCAACTAGATCAGGTTGCTCAGAGCCCCGTCCAACCTGACCTGGAATGTTTCCAGGGATGGGGCATCCACTACCTCTCTGGGCAACCCGTTCCAGTGTTTCACCACCCTCAGCGTAAAAAAATTTCTTCCTTATATCTAGTCTAAATCTTTCAATGTTGTAACTGAAGTGAGGTACCAACGCAAAGAATTTGTAATCTGAATTTCGGTAAAGACTTCCTATCTCTGGAGTCAAACCCAAGTTTAATTGTCATTAGGTTGATATCTACACTTCTGATCTTATTTTAACTAAATCTTTGTATACTTTCTAAAGGAATAATGTGTTAGCCAGACACAGGAGCATGACGGAAGCACCACAGAACTTGCGTCAAATTGAGATTCCCAAGATAGCCAAGAATCCCATCAGAAAGGTAAAACTCTTCCAAAAGGATTGTGTGTGGGTTGCTTCTGCAGGGGTGCAGCAACGTTGTGAAATGACACTTTAGTGCAAAAACTCTTGCTCTATATTCACTTAGTAAGTATGCCCTGTATCAGCTGTACTGAGATCAAAATCGTTTTGAAGGAGAAATGGAAATAATATGTGGTTCAGAGCTTGCAGTTCATATTCATAATGGTTAAACATAACATTAAACTGCCAGTGAGGCTAATTTCTTTTTTTGTTTCAGGAGAACTCGCGTTCTTACCTTGCCTCTGAGAAGTCCCAACAAGTGCCTTTGTTGCAGAAAGAAGCAGTGCAAGGTATATTGACTTCTAGCTTTTCCATGGAAAGGTGCGTCTTCAGCACATGTTCTCCCTGTAAATTTTAGTGAGCTGTGATGAAATATGCTGAAGCATGCTGGAAATCTGAAGAAAGTTTTGCTGAATTCTGCAAAAACTCCGAGGAAAAAATAATCTCTGTATTCTGTATGTGTTCACATGCAAAAAACTTAAATCATTTATCCTGCAAAGAAAAATCTTTCAATTCTTCCTTGAATCTTGTAATTATTTCCATCTTTTCTGTCCTGAAAAAAAAAAGTGAGGACAGAAGTGACCTCTCACATCTGGAAACCGGATGTCTTTCTGCAAAACATTTAATAAAATGCAATCTCACCTGCATTCTCTGAGCCTACATGTGCTTCAGTTGAGATTTTGTAGCTCACTTAATGTTACTCCATCTGGGACACTGATTGGTTGCTTTTTCTGCTATGGCATCTGCTTGTAGCTTATGGCTGGAATAATGCAAGTAATGTAAATTTCTAAGAGAAGTCCAGGATGGATTTAGAGGAGGACATGTTCCAGTAGCAGGAAACAATTTTTCAAAGCTTTGTGGCCTCTAAAAAGTTGTTTTTCTACACTGGTAATGTGACGTTCCCATCTCTAGTGGCCTGACAAACTTATCTTTATGTAATTTTTTTTCTTTTTTCCTCTTTTATTGCTTTTAATCTGATCATTTCTTGCTTTGCCTTGCCTCACAGAGGTTACAAAGGTAAGGAGGAACCTCTTCAATGAAGAGATACTTTCACCATCAAAAAGGTCTATGAAGAAGATGCCTAGAAGCCAGTCAGTATCTGCTGTGGAAGGCCTAAGATACAAATGCACTGATGAAGGCACTAAAGGTAGGACATGACTTGCGCGTGTAGGATTGTTGCAGAAGAGCTTTTGCCAAAATTCCTGTTCTTGTCCTCAGTTCTATGAAACAGCTAATAACCCTATGTTTTTACTGAAGGAGAAAATATTTTAGATCAGTGCTGTAGTGTTTGGGTAGTGAGTAGGATGGTATTGAAACAGAAACGTGTTTTTTGTTGAACTCTCCACACCTCATAAAGAAAACAAATGTTAAAAATGCTTGGTTAAAAAAGGATCTGTGAATGAAAGATGAAGAATAAAAGTTATCTCAGTACTGTGTCAGACAATTAACCTACTATTAATAAATAATATTGAGGGATGGGAAGGGAGTATAGACACTGGACTCTGAAATATATGAATATAGCTTACGAGTGCACAATGATTCTATATTGGCTGTCATTCTTAAACTGAAGCCTGTACAAAACTGTTTGTTTATTTGTCCTAACTGGTTTATACTTGTGCAGTGTTACAGCTCTTGCTTGATTTTTAGATCGTCGCAAGTTACTGACCAAGAGAGTTGCAGAAACACCACTACATAAACAGGTCTCCAGGAGGCTACTACATAAACAGATCAAAGGCCGGTGAGTAAGCTACTCCTGAATTTCTTCAATAAGTGCTGGATATTTAATTAACGGCTGTGAGCACAAGAACCAGATATCTTCTTTGTGGTCAAAGTGTCATCTTCACCTACAGCAGCAAGAGAACCAATGGTGGCTAAATTCTATTGTCTGAATGGGGAGAAATGCTGCTTGTTTCATTGTGTAAGTCAGGGTACCTTAATTCCTGCAGCAAACTGCTGTTAAGGTTTAGTTGCTGCTTCAAGGGTTTCTGAAGAAAAGGCCTGTGCTGTAATTTGTGGAGTCCAGGCTGAAATTTAGCATTTATTTTCATGTAGAACTGTTACCTATTCCACAGCTAGACAGTTACCCATACTCAATCAAATGTTAATAGGCGGCAAAGTGCTTACTAATTGCTCGCTTAGAGTAGCCCACAAAGCAGTATATTGTTGTGGAATAGAGTATTGCTTTTCAGTCTTTATGGTAAGTTCTATTTTTGTAAACGTGAACAGTATGTTAAGTCAAAAGCGTTTGCTGTTTCTCAAGGTCTTCTGATCCAGGTTGTGACACTGGTGTTGTAGAAGAGTCTCCAGAGAAGGCCATGAATGGTGAGCACTGATTTTTTTTCTTTTTTTTTTTTTATTAAGGGTGTTTTTTGCTGTGTTGTAGCTTGCAAGATGAGCATGCCTCAACTTAGGTAATTCATAACTAGTCAGTACAAAAGTATTGTATTATTCTGTTGGTGGAGCACAGCCTCCTCTGATAGAATCACTTGCTGCTCACTGCTTTGACAACCCTGTGTAGCAGAAGTTAAGAAAGAAAGGTAGACAGCAACTCTTTTAAATCAAAATACATGAAGGATCTTGAGGGTGAACAAGATTCTGAGCTGCTATGATTAATGTCAAACCAGCATATGTGGGGTTTGGTTTTTTTTAATGTAACTTCAACGTGTTGTGCTGTGCCCCTAACGTTGCTCTGATTCCTACTGTAACAGATAGCCACCTGGCTCTGTGGAGTGTCTCTGTTACGTAGGTTACTGCTGTTTCTTATCCTCAGGAAGCAAGAAGAAAACAGCGTGGTTGGGCAAGCAGGAAGATGCAATCACTAGTAAAAAGAGACAGGAGAATTAACTAATCATCTAACCTGGATGTAACTTGAATTGAACATGGCTTTTCTAGCATTCCTTTCCATGTAGTTGCTAGAGAGGGACGAGAGTAATCATGACTTAGAGGAGGGGGCATCATGATTTGGAAGGAGATTTGTATGCATTGATATTCCAAATCCCCAAGAAAGTTGAAGCTTTCTTCTTCGCACGCTTGCCTCCCTACATGCGATAGTTAGCTGTATGGAAGTTTCTTCTAAGTGTTCTTTTCAGTTATGAACTATTCCTGAAGATGTCCCCATTGTTGAAGGAGAAAGAAGGCCCAATCTCCCATATCCTTATCTTTTCAGAAGCAGGTTTGAGAAGAAGCCCACGCATCAAACAGCTGTCTTTGAATAGGACCTGCTCTGGTGTTTTCTATTCCACTACACAGCCCAGCTCACAAAATTCACAGCGAGTCCATCAGGGACAAGAAGAGGAGAGCTGTACGCTGCAGGATGTAGAAGGTACTGAATGGGATTTGAGCAGGCTGATACTGCTGATCTGAAAAGCTGGCATGGATGGCTCTAAGTTTGATTTGATTTGGCTCTACAAGAAACTGTAAGAAACTAAGAGCTATCATGTAATATCTTCTGTAGACACAAATTCATCCCCAGTAATTATTTTTGAATTGGGAATCTGAATTCGGAGGACGGTAAGGCAGCTATTTCTATGATGAATACACTGCCAACTTAAGAAACCGGTCAGGCCCATCTAACAGAATACCGCTGATTGCCAGTCTGCATTCCTTAAATGCAGTGAAATCCCTGTAAAATATGGGACAGAAATCCTAAAGCTACTTTCAGTGTACTCTGTGGCAGCATAAAGCAATGACTGATGGGATCTTCTTTGCTGGCTTTCTCAGTAGGATTATCAGCTATAAATGGTGACATTTAGTTCTTTATATTATACTTACTAGAATGCTTAGTCATGAACCAGAACTTTCTTAAGCTACAAGCTATAAATAGAATAAGAGGCTGAGGTATTTTGTACTTTTTTTTTTTCTGCTAGAGCACTCTTTCTACAGATGGATATAAGTTTCATGTTGGGAAATAACAATAATTCTGGTGAAGCTTTAACATTTGGCTAGAAAAGAACATGCCAGGGCTTTGTACACTACTTGTCCATACATCTGAAGTGATTGAGACAATTGTTCGTGGCAGGTTACTTGGTGTTAGTTGAATTGTACTGTTCCACTTTATAGGCATTAAGCGGCATTCGGAGACCCCCACTGTCCAGACTCCCAAGAGGTTTTTCTTTGGTGCAGTCATTGACATGTGTAGCTCTGCAGTGAAGCATTCACCTGGAAGGAGGAGAACAAGAAAAGATTCCTTACACTTAGAGGAGCTGACTGCCTGTCAGGTAGAAACACTTTTCTCTCTTTCTTCCCATCCCCTTTTTCTATTCAAGTTTAGTGAGACCTACACATCTTAAATTCAGTGTTTCTGTTAAGTCTAATCAAATGGGGTTTTGTATTTTAAATCTTGAGAAGTAAATGTCAAGAGGGGTAGATAATACTGCTGGAATAGAACAAGCATGATTCTTTATCTTTTTTTTTTTTGTCCCCTGCAGACTCCTAGAAAAACACCTCATAAACTTGCCCAGAAGCCACTGAATTCTGCCAGTAAGCTACCAAGGAGATCACCTCGCATTCTCCACAGGACACCACAGAAGCTGGAGAAGACTCCTGGCAAAAGTCCAGCTGCTAAGCAGACTGCAGCTAAGTGTTTGGGAAAGTACTTTTCTCATCCTGTACAAGGGATCAAGTCACCATCTGCGTTAACTGAAAGTAAGAGGGTTCACTTACTGCAAGGAACTTCTAAGGATTGTTCTCCAGCAGAAGGACTTTCCCCTCCTTGCAAAGGGGCTGGCTTACAAATACCAGAACACGAAGGGTTTGCAGTGCTCAATGCCTCATTGTTACCTCTGACAGATTCAAATCCAGCTGCTTCTTCCCCCTCTGCCGTCCAGGAAAGATGTTTTACAGAACTGCAAACTCCAAGACGTTCCTTGAGATACCTCTCAAAATTAGCATCTCCAGTTGGTACTCGGAGGCAAATCCTCACAAAGGAAACTCAACTGCAGTCAGATCCGTTATCTCAAGCAACTAAAAGTACTCCCAGGAAACCTGAAGATCCTGGTTCAAAATTATGTACCAGCCCACTGAGTGCAGAAATATCGCAGCTCGCTGTGAGGCTAGAGCCTCCCTTTGGTTCTCCTCTCCGTGAAAGTTCCATGAACACTGTGGCAATCTGCTCTCCTTCCCACGCGCAGGCTAGGGAGTCTGATTGGGAACTTAGCGCATCTAAACCATCTTTTCAAAAATCTCCAGGTATTACTGGCACTTCACTGAGGTCCCTGCTTCACACATCCAAGCAGGCCAAATGTGAACCAAATGCTGGAGGAAAGAACCTCACACTTGCATGTGCAACACCTTCTAAAAATAAGGACAATCATGACAGTGGTGGTAACTCTTCTGTAGAAAGCCTCCAACTTTGTCAGTCACAAGTTACTGAAAATACCCCTGTATCGGAGGAAAATAAGCAGATGGATGTAGCGTCTCAAAAGTCTCCTCCAAGAGAGGATTTGGAAAACTTGGAAGAGCATTTGTCTCCAAAGCCGCCTGCTGGAGGGCAGGTACGTGCACAGAATGCTGAGATAGAGTGTGAGCAATTGGTTAAGGAGGGGAACTCCAGTGCAAAGGTCTGTGAGTCCTTCCTAAGTGGTTCTCAAACAGTTAGTGATGACTTGGAACCAAGAATCCTGCTGAGAGAAGAATATACGGGGCTGAAGGCTCCAAGTCTTAAGAGACATTCCAGATTTGCCCTGAATACTTTGCCTCCTATGCCAAGGTCTGCTCCTGCCTATTCTTTACGCTGCACTGCAGACAGGAGACAGCGGGAAGCTGCTGCACGAATGGGAAATCCTCAGCTTCTAGCCAAGTTCTCTACTCCTAAAAGTCGTTGCAAACTGCCTTCTGCTAGCCGACCGACTTACGAAGTTGAACTTGAAATGCAAGCTTCAGGCCTGCCCAAACTTCGCATTAAGAAAATTGGCCCTTGCTCATCGTTGGAAGTTCAACCTGAAGCAAGTGCCAGCAAACCCAAGGGAGGAGAAAGCCCCTTTGGTGATCTTGCTATGACCTGGTGTAGCAAGCACCCGGGAAAACTAGCAGCTGCCTGTGTTTCACCGTCCTGCTTTCGCTCTTTCCACAGTACACCTGGGAAAGGTGGAGGACAGACCTACATATGCCAGTCATACACCCCAACAAGCTGTGCCTCTAATGCCACCTCCCCGTCCCCCTTAGAAGCAGGAGTTCCCCGGACACCTTCTCCAAAGCAGAAGGGGAGGACTACCCCTGATGCTATCAACGACTGGCCTCGGAGAAAGAGAGCAGCAGGCAGCACTGCTAACGCTAGCTGTGGTCAAAGTGAGAAGAATGCTGATGAACAGAAGAGAATGTCAACAGGCAGAGAAGGAGAGACGAAGATCTTGGAGCATTGCAGCAGTAAAGTAACAAATACTCTTGGGGAGTTTGAACTGGAAGGGATTTACAGGCTCCAGGATCAGGCATCTCCTAGTGACTCTGAACCCAGGGCCAATGAGGACTCTGCCATGGGAACTTTTGGCTTGAAATCTCGGAAGCGGGTCTTTACGAATCTATCGCCAGAAAAGGAGGAGAATCCTGATGCCAAGAGATCTTGCACTGATAGGTGCAACCTGGATCTTACTGGCTTTTCCACAGCTGAGGGCAACAGAAGCAAATCAAGGACAGACTCTCTACTTCCTGAGAAACCAGGAGCATGTGCGCTCATAACTCTTGAGCAGCACAGTTGTGTAGGGGATGACGATGTCTTCCTTTTGTCAGGTAATTAAGTGGCACGAGTGACACTCTGTTGAAATTCAGAGATGGTTAAAAATGTGGGGTAGACAAAATCAAGAACACAATTGTTTTCTGTCTTACTGTCTGAGGGAGAATGAGGGGGAGAGTGTGTTGTAAGTGATGTGGAAGTTAATTATGGGGACAGGCAGACTGGATGTGAGGAGTATATCAATGGGGTATTAATGATGGGAGAGAGATCAGAGAAATATGAAAGAGCAGGAGGCTGGAGGAATTAAAAGGAAAGTTTGAGAACTTGAGGAGGGAGGGTTCCAACTGCATCCAACTGGCGATTTATTTGGGTTTGTGTTGATGCCGCTAGCAGTTTCTGCCCAGCATCCAGCACTGAAGCCAACTGTCTTTAAGTCTAAAGCTTGGCTGCTTCAGTATAGGCTGGAGCCTGGGCAGGGTTAGTTCCTTAAGCTGGTCCTGTAAGAGACTTTCTGTACCTACAGACCTTGTTTTTGTATTTACAGACCATCGTGGTTATAATAGTTTTCTTCCAGGACACGAGTTAACTGAAGAGTAACTATGTTTAATATGAGTGAAGCACTTTTCTGCTAAACCACCTAAGAAAATTAAATGCACTAAGAGCTAATTCTGTTTACCTAAGTCTGCTAAGACTGCCGTTTACCTTTCTTGATGCCAGAAACCCACTGTGCCAGCCTAGATTTTGTTTCAGATAAACTCAAAGTATCACTTGTACCGATGGAAGTTTTGAGGTAGAATAAAGGCTGTGTATGAGACTTACCTGAAAGCACTCCTGAGTTGTCAGTTTGCTGCAGCATCTCACTGTGCTTCTCCAGGCTCAACTCCACCAGTGAAGAGCGCGCTCTCTGCTAGCAGCCTTCTAGCACTGACCCAGTCTCCACTGCTGTGCCAGGGACAGACACCGCCATCTCGGAGAAAGTGTGTTCAAGGTAACCACCTGTGCTGTAAGGAAGGGCTGGGCTCGAGCAGACTAGGTGTGCTCTCCGCTTGCCTGCAACTAAATGAGAACAAAAGCATGCTGTGCTAGGGATCGGGTTTTGTGCAGAAAGCCTGTGGCTGTATCTGCCGCTTCTGTATTCAGTGTCTCAATCTCACATGCTTCCAAGAGGCTTGGCATGGACTGGGAAGTTTGGAAGGGAGGGGAGGTAGCCATGAAAGAGAGTAGCTTAGTAGGAAGTGCAGCTTACTGTTCTTGTTGTTTCCAGTTGGTATTGGGCTTCTTGGAGTCACCAGTAAGCTTTGGCAAACTGTGGCTTTAATTTATTCTTTCTATTTTGTAGAAGAGGAATCCGATGCCTTCCAAATTACTGCCAACCAGGAGCTGTCTCCATTCCACATCATGGCTTCCAGGAAGCGTCCCCTTAGCAGGACTTACTCACGGAAAAAGCTGCTCAGCTGAAGTTTGGAGCCAGAACAGTATGGGAAACTTTGCATTATCCTAGCTGTACAACGTGCTTTTTAACAAGGACCTTATATTTGGTGCTGGACTGGAGCTGTCTTGTGTTGGTAGGAGACTGGATGCAAGCATACGACAGTGGAAATAGGGACCACTCTAAAAGTCTGGGGTTTTTTAACCTCAATTGCAGCATCTCTCTATCCATTCAAAGCCTAGCTCGGTCTTTCTGGCACTTTCCTTGCATGTGGTAGCTGAGTTCTGCAGTGAAGGTTCAATTCTGCTAGGTAAAGAGGGAGAATTGTCACTTTTCTTACAGCTTTCTTGTAAAATAAACTGATGTGAATTTTCACTGTGTCAATCAGAAGTCTGTCTTTAGCCCAAGTGATGGGCGAGGGATTGGGGCTGCAGGAAGAAGGATGCTGGAGGTGAATGGGTACAAAACAAGCTGCATGCTCCTGCTGTGTATCTTGTCCTGATACTAACTGGATCCCTCTGTTAGTTGCATCCAGTTTGTCACAGCTTAGTGGGAAAATAACAAGGAGATTAACTCTGACGGATTAATGAGTAAATCCCTCAGAAGTACTTGACAAATGCCAAAAGAATACAGAGGAGGGGAAAGATAATTTAGCTGGGAACAGGGAAGGAGAGGAGTTTGATTATTCCTCTTTGTAGATTGCAAATGGTTTGGTGTATCTGCTCCTGGCCGCTGCTGGGCAAACAGGTGCTGATGCACCGAGTAACTTCGGTGCTCTTTTCTGCAAACTTGCAGTGAGCCAGAGAGGGCTGGCTGGGGAAGCTTCCCTGGGAGGTAAAACGTGATGGAATAACTGGAGATGACAGTTCAAAGACTACTAAACTGAGTCACTGATCAAATAGTGACTTAGTTGCCTGTGAACCATGTGCTTGCATTCTAACCCCATGAAGACAGCAGGAGCTGTGATTCAGTGCCCGAGATGTAGCCTACAAGGGGCTAAAAGTGTGCATTATCTTGGAATGGCTGAGTTTTTCCTTTAGGATAGCAATCTCTTTGTGGGGAAGTCACCCCACCGTGTCTAGTAACGCACAGGAAGCAGAGAGCTATGAAGATAGTGTGGGGTCATCCTGAAACCAGGCACGGCAATGCGGAATTTTGTTACGTGGCTTTAAGGCTTTGAGGGGCTAGATGGTACTGAATGGAATTTGCTTCCTGGAAACACTATTTGTTGCAGGAAGGCTGACTGCTTCCCTCTGCCAAGAGAGGAGGAATAGTGTGCTTACCAGTGATTGTTTTGCTTGTGGGCTTCAAGGATGTGGATTGATACACAAGCATGGAGCTCCAAGACTACTACTTACTTCCAAGTAGGATGGATGATTCTTTTCTCTGCTGAAGATCTTTGTTTTCAACAGCAGAAAATAAAGGCTCTGAACTTAAATCTCGTGCAGCTCAGCTGCACCTGGAGCCCTCAGTAAGGTCCCCCCTCAAAGCCACACCCCTACAGGCAAGATCGAGTATGCAGGAGGCAGATCAGGTGGTTCCTACTTCAGATGCTGGCGTTCAACTTGGTGTATGTTACTCCTCCAATGGTAGCTGCGGTAGCTGTACTCGTGATTTCAGGCTGAAGCAGTGGCTTGCTTTTTGGGGTCAGGTAGCCAAGCTGCTCTCTCCCCATTTGCCCTTAAAGCAGGTACCTGGGCTTTCATTTCTTGCTCTGCCAGAGTTAAACTTACGTCCCCCTTCCCGAGGTGGATGGTGTCAGTGTTAAATTGCAGGATTGTATTTAATCTCCCTTACCTCCAGACTGGAAGTTTTCCCAAGAGTAAGAAAATGCTGCTTAAAGCACCTTATAGGCTGGAGCAGAAAATGGCATCGAACCAGGGTCGCTTTTATCCTGGATGCTTCAGACAATGCTGCTGCTGTCTGGAGATGCTTTTCCTGCAGCAACTCAACGTAGGAAGCCTACCAGCTCTGACTGTGAGCGCTTACAAAGCAGGTACTTAAACATTAAGGCAACGCTGTGACAGCAGCTGAGTTCCCATGCAGTGAGGTTTAAATAGAACTCCTTTCCTACATACCAGAGTTAAGTGACGACTGGAGCCTCTGACAAGTGACTGCTTCATAAAACTCACTCTGCTTTATTAGAAAAGTTACAGTAGAAATGTAAAAAAACAAAGTTACTACAAAAAAAAAAATCTATGTACAAGTTCTGTGGGACTGCAGAGCATCTTCCTCCAAGGCTGCTAGGGCTGAGCGAGCCCTGCAGCAGAGGTTTCCAAACTGTAAACAAGTTTTTAGTGTTACGAGGCGAGGGTGGGAGGTACCTCCCACTTCCCAGTGTTTAAGCTGCTGAGGGTGCCGGAGGAAAGGTGTCCAGTCAGCACTGGCTAGACTGGCAGCAACATGGGGAACGTAGGCTGATGCTTATCTCCCTTATGATGAGAAGTCATGTCTTTTTCTTCCTCAGGCCTCTGGTACGTAACAGGTTTGCAGTCAGGCTGGCTTGTGGGCAGAAAGGCTCTTAAGCTCACGTCAGCAGTATCTGCTCCTCCCTGCCCTGTGCCAGGTTAAGTGTTAAGCCTGTGTCTAGAGTGGATTTTTCCTCACGTCTATCATTGCTGGGTGGTAAGGCACTGGGGTCACGTTCAGGCTGGCTCTGCGCAGCTCCCGGCGGGGCTTGGAGGCAGGAGCGAGGCTCCGCGGCGGGTGCACCTCGTGGGGCTGCCCCGCTCTCGGCAAGTGCTCGGCATCCCTGTGCCGAAGGTCCCCGGGGCTGTCGTTGGGCAGGGAGGAACGCCTCCACGTCGATGGCAAAGGGGCGTGCACCAGGTCCCTGCTCTCATCCCTGACCCGATGGCTTTCTTCAGTGACGGCCAGAGGTACAGGCTGTTCCCCAAGGCTGGATTCCTCGCAGGTCCCGAGCGCAGGGGGAGCTCTGTCCCCAGCCCCGTGAATGCTTCTCTCCGTCCCTGCTGGGAAAGGTTGGGGGTACAGTGAGATGAGTGTCAGGATCTCTACTTCTCTCATCAAAATCAGTGCCTGTAGAGCACTTGCTGAAGGCCAACAATGACCTGCACCCGCACTGCTCCTGACTCTGCTCCAAGCTCTTGCTGCCAGGCAAAGGAATTTAAACTCCCTTCCTTTTAACTTAGTAGGAACAGCAAAGCCCCCGCCTGGGCTTCCTCTCACCTTTGGTCTGTCCAGGATGGAGGCTCATGTTACTCAGCCTCTGGTTCAGCTCCTGGTTTGCCCACACGTAACGGCTCAGCTCCTTTTCTAGCACCTGAATCCTCGCCTCGTACTGCAGCTTGCTGCTGGCCAGCCCCTCATCCATGTGCTCTACAAGGAAAAACAAGGCCATTTCAAGCTGCAAGCCCTGTGAAAGCCGAAAGCCGTGCCACTGCTGCCCGTTTCAGGAGCTGGGTGGTTACCGCGGCTCTGCTGGAGCAGTAGCTGCATGTTCTGCTCGTGCTCCTTCTGCTGCAGGGTGAGCTGGCGGTCCATCTCCAGGCGCTGGCGCTCCACGGCCACCTCCAGCCAGTACACCAGCTGCTGCTGCTCCTCCAGCTGCATCTCCAGCTCCGAGAAGGCAATGTGCTGCCTGTGCTGATCCTCTCGCAGCGTCACCACCTGGCCAGGACCCAAGAGCAAGAAACATCTCAGCTCCTTCAGAGCCTGGAAGCTTTCCTGCACCACCGAGCCTGATCAGGTTAGTTTTTTGGTACAGCGTTATGAAAGTTAGTAGTTCTGGGATGTCACAGCTGCCTCGCAGAGGAAGTGCAACGTGTGGCTGCACTGACGTGGCAAAGCCACCGCAGGGATCCATGCATCCTATGACTAGTTAAGCCTCTCTCCCAGGTGTTGGGATAGGTGGGGGATCATGGTGCTGTGGCTTTGTGGCCTGACTTCACAGGTCAAAAGTACAGTAGGAGGCAAGCAGAAGGCTCGAGCCTGAGGAAAACAAGAGTTTGGTCAGATACTACAGTTCCCACCAACGCAGAGGGTAGTTGTCTCCCACCTTGTCGAAGTACTTGCAGAGCAGAGCTCGGGTCTCGGAGGAGGAGAGGTAGCTGAGCTTGGCCATGAGGTTCATCTCACACTGGGACAGCAGGCTGGCCGAGGCTCGCAGGACTCGTTGCCTGCACGTGATGGACTCGTTCTTGTACTCGATGGCTGCATCCAGAGCCTCGATTGCCTCGTCCAGCTGGAACAAGATCCGTTCTTCCTGCCAGGGCAGAGCTGCAGTTACTAGGGAGAAAAGGGTTCGCTCTGTCTCACCCTGCCCCTAACCTCCCTTGTCATCTCAATAGCGCTGGCAAGAAGTTGGGATACGCGCAGTTTGGGGACATGGGGAAGCATCTGCTAATGACCCCCACGCTGCCTCATGCTCTTGCAAGCACAGCAGCCCAGCCCAAGAAGAGGTACCTCTGGGGACAGCAGGGTGCCCTGACGCAGCTTGTTGTCGAGCTCCAACCTCTGTTTGAGCAGCTGGTCCTTCTCCTGGCGCAGGTTGTTGATCTCCTGGCGGATCTGCTGCTGGTCGTGGGCGCTGCCGTGACGCAGCTGCCCGTTCTTCTCAGTCAGCTCCTTTTCCAGGTGCTCCAGACGGCTGGACACACGCACTATGTCATCTGTCAGGGCCTGCAGCAGAAGATGCTTAAGGGGATCTGCCCTAAAGGCAAGTCAAACCCCCAGCCCCTTTCTACTTCCTCCATAGGTCAAGTGACCCCACGTGCGTACCTACGCCAGGGGCTATCAAACCAACTACCTCAGAGGCAGAGCACAAGCAGGGTCTCCTGTAGGGGCAGATTTGCTACCCGCTTCCCACCACCACCTCATCCTGATCTGCAGCTCTCTGCCAGACCCAGGATGGCGCCTAGGTCTTCCAGCTTCCCACCTCTGCTGGAAATCAAGCAAGGGGCTGAGGTGTCACACTCTTGTCCTACCTGGCTGGAGCGCAGTCTTTTGCTCTCCAGGCCACTCTTCTCCTGCAGCAGGGCTTCCTTTTTGGCCACGATAGCTTCCCGCTTCCGCAGCTCATCTTCCAGCTCATCCAGGGCCCGGCGCTGCTCGAGAACTTTATCCATCTCCATATCCAGCCACTTCTTCTGTTCCTCAATTTTCTGATGGAAGGAGAGGCAAAGGGCATGTGCACGCATGCAGACAGCAGCAGCAATGCCCAGGACTGCTAAACTGTCTGATCTCAACCCCGTTGAGATCAGAGAGAGAATCTCGAGTCCATCTCTGCTAACCCCTATAGCCCAGACTTCACTGGTTGTATCCTTCCAGCTGCTCTGAGAGGCAGAGCTGAGCTAAATCCACAGCTGCCAAGGAGTCCTTGGAGGCCGCATCTCCCACCACCCTTCTGCTAACAGACAAGATTTCACAGCTTCTTTACCAATGCTAGGATTTAGAAGAGAATCCTGCTCCTGGGCGTAAGACAAGATCTAAGTCCTCTGCTACTAGATACAAGTGACATTATGGACTGTCCTCCTCAGGGGCAGGATGGGCCTATGTCCCGTCTCAGGCTGAAGCCCCTGCTTCCAGGCCTCCCCCGTCACCCAGCAGTCTGCCACGGCAGTCCCCTTTGAACAGGAAGGAGGTGGCAGGCTCGCTCTGCCTGTACCTGCTGCTGCTCAAGGCTGATCACGGAGCCGTTGCTGCCGCTCCGCCGCTTCCTCTGGAAAGCTGCTATTTCCTCTGTTTTGATGCGCAGGATTTTCTGGTGCTGCTCGTGCTTCAGTTCCAGTTCCTGTATGGGAAGGAGCAGCTGTGAGCCTCAAGAGGCTGTTTGCCCTAGAGCCAGGGGCTGGGGGACAGGTTATGTTCTCTGCTAGCTCTTTGGATACTCTTAAAAAAATAATCCTCTCTCCATCCCCATGCTCTCCAAGACAACCACAGACCCCATCAGGCCTACCCTTGCCTGCCCGGCAGCTTGCAGAGCCCACCCATCGTCATCCTCACAAACACCGCAGTAGCACAGCTGCTCCTGCCCATTCCTCCCTTGACTTGGTGCTGCTGCTTGTTCACCT